CATGTGTGTCTTGGAGTAGCACCATCCCACAGAGGGTTTGCCCATACTGACAACTCACAGTGGCCCTGGGGAAGCAAAGCAGACCTCAAATCCTAGTCCAAGCCTGTGCAAAGGAGGCAAATGCTGCGCTTTGGTTAAACAGGATTCCCCAAGTTCAGAAAGTGGATGTATGGGATCACTCTGTTTCCCCTATCACACGGAGCATGGGCTTATCTGGGGAAGGGAAGGTGAAGGGTGAGAGCTGGGGAGGGTCATGCTAACATGTGGTTTGTGCATCTGCAGCACCACCACGAAGCGACACAGCCTGTGCCGCTCCTCCTCTGGCTACAGGATGACCACTGAGGACTACAAGAAGCTGTGAGTGTGCCAAGGGGAGCAGCACTTCTGCCCATGCCAGGCTCAGCAGCACCTGAGCCTCAGTGGTGAGGCCATCTGCATGTGGATGCCTGTGTGCAGGACATCCAGGCATGGCTTCATCAGCCACGCACTGCAGAGCTTTGCTAGAAACTGCAGCAGTTCCCAGTGCTCCCTCCAGGCCTGAGTGGGCATCAGGGGTCCCTCAAAGTGGTAATGGCCTTTGTGCAGGGTGAATTCTATCACTAGGTAGTAGATAAGGCAGAAGCTGGAGGATGCAGCCTGGGGACTTGCAGTATTGCAGACCTTTCTGCAACCAGGGGAAAAGAGGGACAGAGCAGCACTGCTGATGTTTCCTATACAGCTTTTCCTGTCAAAGACCATGGCTCTAATCTGGAATGCAGCTGAGCATTTATGATGAACCAGCCTCTAGGCTTAACCCCTTGACTAAGTCATGTGGGGACACATGCATGAAAAATACAAGTGCCCTCCATACTTGTGTGCCGTGCTTCCAGGGCCTGAACCCGCTGCCACATGCCCTTGGATTTACCCTGGGTTTTGATTGTGCTGCCTCTACAGAGGCAGCTCCCTTACCTTGGCTCTCCCCTTTCTGTTTCAGAGCTCCGTATAATGTTAAGCAAAAATCAGTGGACTTGGACGAGGAGGATGTGCCTTTCACTCCAGATGAGCACAAAAAGAGGTATGTCCTCAGTTAACCACCTTCTGCTTGCAGGGGCAGTGACAAGTGCACTTCAGTTTAACTGTTACTGGGAGGGTCAGTTTGATGTTTGCAGCTGAGCCATTAGGGCTCATTGCAGTAAGATAATGATAAGCAGATATTTCTACTCAGAGCACAGCTATGCCCATGGGTGACTGCACTCCCAACCACATATAATTAAAAGCCTGACATGATTCAGCCTGACAGCATACCCCAATTAATCTGGCAGCTGGAAGCAGGTTGTGGAACCCATTAGCTGCATCGTGTCTATGTGGAAAGATAGAGACTACAACCGGCCTGGCAGTGAGGGGAAGAACCACCTCCCACAGCCTGCCTGTGTGCAACTGAGTCTGGACCACAGGGGGACTTGCACCTAAGTGCAGATCCAAATGAGTCTCTTGTTCTCATACCAGGAGTAGAATGTGATTTGTCTATATGGTGGACCTGCGTCAGTGCAGCCAGAGTCCCTGTTGCTTTTGGTCAAGTTTCTGAAGATGCTTTTGTTCAGATACAAGGCTTTTACAAATGAAAACTTGGTTATTTGCCCACAGCAAAAGTCCTTTCATGGATCTGCACCTCTCCCTTGGTACATCTGGTGGTGCTGATGTCTGTAAGACACATGCAGTTCATGTAGCATGTCAGCCTCAACTCCTGCTCCCCATTTTTTGGTCCCATGGTGTGCAATATTAACAGTCCAGGTCTTCAAAAGGAGAACTCCCTCTGCCCACCTGGAAGAGGAAGGGTTTTTCTTTTCCCTTATACTTTACATGTGCAAGTGCTGTGACCCAGCATCAGTGATGCTAAAGAAAAAGATTAGATGTTGTTACTTACCCCTTTCAGCTCTGGCTGGATTTCTGCTCCCAGAGCACAGGAGCTCTGCAGGGCTGGCACATGGCTTGTTCACCTCATGTCTCTTCAAGGCTACAGGCATGAGCAGAAGGTGACCCCATCTCTTCCCTCTCCTCCAGGACAGAGGCAGCCAACAGTGTCCTGAGGCACAGTGCCAGCAGGGAACGTGCTTATGTCCTCTCTGCAGCCAAGAAGAGCAGTGGGTGAGTGTGCGGCATGGGGCAGGAGCAGGGCAGGGGCTGCAGAGGGGACTCACGGGGTGGTGGCCTGAGCCAGGCTTCTCTGAAGGGGATGGGTTCCTTTCCAATGAGAGGAGATGACAGAGCTGCCGTCTCTCCAGGAATGCCAGGGGTGCCTACACTTGGTGCACCAGACATTTGGAGGGCTGCAATCAAGACTTCAGTGTTCAGACTCAGTTCTTACTTCTGCTCTCTGCAGTTTGTTGCATGCAGGGGAAAATCAGAGCAAATACAAACTGCATCCACTGTGGATCAGCTTTTTGCCACAGTTTGCCTTTACACTGGTTTTGGATGATAAGAGTTACAAGATCCTGATTAGTTTCAGAATAGTTCTATGGGGATAAAAGAACCTAACAGTGGTGTGAGTATGTAACAGGAGTGTGAAGTTGTGTGGGAGCTACTGGTGTTCAGGGCTTTTTTGCCCATCTCTTTCCTGGGAAGGGTAAAATAAAGCAGATTTCCAAGGACTCTGACCCCCCAGGAGCCCATCATGGCAAGTGACTTTTGCAGCTTGCTTTCACTGTGAACCCTTTTCCTCTTGACATAACTCAGGGTGACACAATGAGGCACAGGAAGGTTGCAAGGGCAGGAGGAAGCAGGGAGAAGATGGCCAGCAGTGCTCAGCTGTGCCCAGAGTGGGAGAAGCGTTTGGATGGTGCTGCAAGAAACCTGGAGAGAGGCTTTGGACAAGGGTCTGTAGGGACAGGACAAGGGGAATGGCTTTAACCTGCCAGAGGAGAGATTGAGATGAGCTCTTAGGCAGAAGTGCTTCCCTGTGAGGGTCCTGAGGCTCTAGTGGAAGGTGTCCCTGCCCGTGGCAGGGGCTTGGAACTGGAGGAGCTTTGAGGTCTCTTCCAACCCAAAACAGCCTGGCATTCTCTGGGATCTGTGAGGCCATTAAGGGTGTTTGCACTGACTGTTAGTTCCTCTGGGAGGCAGGTTTGTATGCAGGAAGAAAAACAGCCATCAGGAAGGTATGAAATTAAAGAGGCCCTCTGGGGGAGCTTCTTCACGTATTGTAGATAGCTGCTCCTCCTGTTTTTATTCCCTCTACTCTGTAATTTGCAGACGTTTAACATGCATGGTCACTGCCCAAATGGTGTTACATGACCCCATAATGCCTTGCACCATCTGGGTCAGTATGGGTCAAAGAGTCTGTGGGCATTGCCCTGCCCAAAGTGTGTCTTTACCTCCAAACTTCTAACTCTTGCCTTTATGCTTCCTTTACAGCAGCCCAACACAAGAATTTCCACCCTTGTTTGCCAAGAGGTAGGTCACTGGCCCTCTGAAGCACTGCTGGGGTTGTGTGTCTGTGCTGTACCATGGCTGCTGTTAAGTGCTGGGACAGGAGATCTTGGGTGTTTCAAAGCACAGGAGGGACACTTCCCTTGAAAAGGATGCTCTGGGTTGTCTCACGCTGGCTTTTAAGAGCCCAAAGTGTTGGAAACACTGAGAATACAGAGCTGACGATGCTTTGTGTTGTGGCAACCTGAAACAAGGACTCTTCATTGCCCTTCTTCAGGCTCCAACTAGCAGGGTGAATGCTCTTCTAGCATTTAGCTTCTAAAGCAGTGGGTGGGATGGGGAACGATGCCTTGGGCACTCTCTGGGTTTTCAGCATTCAGATGATGCTATTTGTAAAGCAACTGTGTCAGCAGAATGCCACTGATCTTACTTCATCTGAGGTGCTCACCCATGGCAGAACGCAGGGAGCATGAGGAGCAGGAAAATCTGCCTCTGGGGGAAACAGGGGGAAAACCTAGTTTATGGGAAACAAGGATAAGCTGCCTGAGTTAGCAGTGGGAATATGAAGCAGTGATATTTGTCTCTCTTTTTGCCTTTGGAAGAGTTGAGATAGAAGAGGAGGCACAGCAGAGGAGGAGTTCAACTGGTTCCTGCAGGTTCACACCAGATGACAATAGGTATTTACCTCATCCTGGAGTATCGGGTTGGCTATCTCTGGTTTCAGAGCACCCTGATTTGCCATCTTCACAGATAACTGTATTTGTCTGAAGGTAGCAGCTGACTGAACACAACGAGAGATGGGGCTTTTCAAAGGGGCTGCTCAGAAAATCCAAAATGAAAATGACACAGGGTTAGTGGAACAAATGGGCAGACGTAGGGAGAGGCATCAAGTGCACCAACTGACAGTCCTGGGGGTGACAAGCTGCATTTAACTAAAGGCCAACTCTAATGTGGGTCAACCTGCCACTGAGCTCCTCTGCTGATCACACTCCTGACTTCACAAGGAGCTCACACCACAGGAATGAGCCTGGTGGCACTTCTGGAGAAACAGCTTCTGAAGGAGTTGGAGCAGCCATCAGATAGTGATGATCTTCCTTTACTCCCAAACTGGCTGTGTGACCTGACCTCATCACCTAGACATGAAATACTCAATGCCTCACTATTTGCAGTCCCCTGAGCCAGCTCTCTGCTTTCCTTAGAGTTAGATTTAATTATTCTGCTCTGATGGCAGCAGGGAGGTGTGAGCAGAGAGGTTTGAAAGGTTCATTATCTTTAAATTGATCTTTGCTTCGATGGGAAATGTTTAGCCTGGTTTCAAGTCTCCAGCCCTTTTCTCAGGCTACTGTGAAGCCCAAATGTATACAGGAGCAGTGACAGGCAAGGTGGAGCATACTTTCTATGGTATGTGAGACCTGGGAACAGGCTGCCTCTGGTCTAAAGGGGCAGCAGTGACACTGTCCCTTAGCCCACATTGGTTGGAACAGCCGCACATGGTGTGGGGCAGCAGTGAGATGCAGAAATGCTTGGCTAAAATGGAGATGTTCGCCCTAGAAGGGAGAATCATAGAATCCCAGACTGCTTTGGGTTGAAGGGACCTTAAAGCTCACCCAGTTACAACCCCCTGCCACGGGCAGGGACATCTTTAGGTTGCTCCAAGACCCATCCAACTTGGCCCTCTTTAGATATTGGAACACAACAGTGTTGGTCTTCCCTGAGCCTTCTCTTCACCAGGCTAAATAACCCCAATTCTCAGTCTGTCCTCATGGAAGGATTCAGAGAAGAATCCTCATGGGATTCTCGTATGTTTTCAAACAGATCTGTTTAATTTGGGATTCAGCTCTGTGTTCCTGCTCTGAGGGGTGGCTCAATGCCAGGCAGCAGCATTATTGGCTTCTCTACCACTCTGGTCCTTAGTGGGCCCAGCAGGGAGCCCAATAAATGAGGCTTTTCAGCCTGAAACACTTTGTTTTCAGGATGAAGGAGCTTTCTTATGAATGTTGGTAGCAATTCTGTGCCACTGTGGTGCAGGTTTAAGGCAGGGCTTGGAAGCAGTTTTCCTCCTTCCCTCACATGTTACACACACATAGCACAATCAATTTTGTGGATGCACTGAGCTTTAATCTGTTTGGGGAAGTTGGGGTTTAGAGCAGACTCAAACACTGCGGCTAGAAACAGCTCCAGAGTGTTAAATAGAAAAAGCCAGTTTCTAAAGACGGAGCATTTCAGCAGAAAGGCAGATTCTGGTCACGTCAGCGCAGCAGGGCATGGAGACAGCAGCACAGGAGGGTTTGGCCTCATTGGCCAGGAAGCAGGCACCAGAGCTGTGGGCCAGACAAGGAGGTGTCCCCCACACAGAAAGCACTTAAAAATCCTTCTGGTTTTAATGCTTTGTTACTTGGCTGTTTTATTGTCAGTACTAATGGGCTAAGAAAAGTCACTGCTGGATCTTCCTGGAATGAGTCAAAGACAACAGCATCATCTCCCTCCAGGTGAGTGTTGCAGCACAGCCAGGAGGTCTCGGACATCATCTGCAGCTGTATCAGCCCACAGGTAGCTATGTAGGTCAGAGGATCCTGTGGGCACCCCTCTGGGGGGGGGTGAAAAGAAGCACATTTGTCAGCCTTGTACATGGGAGACTTTTCTTAGATGCAGGCAGCTGTTTTAAGGAAGGTTTAAGGAAGGTGCTGCAAGGAGCTGACAACACCCTGATAGAAGTGTTCAAAACCTGAAAGGAAAAGATCCAAACTTGCCAAAGTTTTCCTTACAAAATGTGTGTAGGGGGATGATTTTCAGTTGCTTTTAACTTTGGTTGGTTGAATTCATGACTGGGGGGATAAAAAATGTTGACCTGTTTTTCCACAGCACTGCAAAGATCACTTTGCTTACTGACCTGGTTCTGTTGGGTTTATTCTGTGTGTGTGTGGTTGGCAGAAGGCAGCTATTCCTGGCAATGTCAGTGTTTTAAGGTAGAAATTGCTTCTGATAAGACGACTTTGTAAGTGAAGGTATTGAAAACAGTGATGTGTGTTTTCCATTTTATTCATTCACACTTGGATGCAGGGAAGCTTTGGGCAGCTGCAGTGGGGAGCTAGCTCCTTCAGTAATGACAGCTTCTGTCTGACTTCTCTTGCAGCCCTGAAACAGGCACCAAGAGCCAAACAACTACATCCTTGAAGGAAACTTCAGAGAGAATCTCCACTTCTGCTGAAATCAGGTCAGTCTGTTGGTCTTGTATCACCCTAATGCTCTGCTAAGGATAATGAAGGACGTGCTGCACTTGGTGGTTTCCTACTACACATGATTGCTCTGGAAACAGTGCAGTCCTGGAAAAATAAGTACCATAGGACTGGGAATCTGGGAAAGGAGCTTTTACAAAAGCCTCAGCAGCCTGGGAGGAAATACACCCATATGGAAGCTGCAGGCCTCCCACATCTTGAACATTATCCAATTCTTTATGATACCCAGAAATAGCAGAGCTTTCTATCTCCTAAACTGATCAGGATTTCATTTTAATCCAGTCCCTGCACTGTAGGTAGCACAGTTCCAACGAGCACCTTGCCATATAGCTCCTATGCTATGCCTCACGTTGTGTCCCCTCCTCTCCCTACCTAACTTCTTGCTGTTTCCCTTGCAGAAATGGGGAAAATGGACAGGCCCCTAATGGGAAATCCTCATCTGAAACCGAGTCACAGCATGGGGATGGGTAAGCAGTTGAGAAAGGCTGATCTGTGCTGCTGAACATAAGGTGTAACCCTGCTTTTCGCTCAGACATAGCATTTACCTGCTAGTGGTCTCAAGCAGATGGGATCTCCCCAGTCATGGTCCTGGGCTGCACTCCAAGAGCATCATCTGCTGGCTAAGCTGCAACTTGTCAGTTTACTCTTCCTTCATGTCCCTCAAGGATTCTCCTCTCTGGCTCAGACCCTAAAGAGTCTACCTCATGCATTCATTTTTTTTATTACTGCTCCAATTGCCTCCCCACTACTGTTCCCTGGGGAACTTCTTCCTCCTACAAGGCATGTGTTGAACTTTGGTTGCTGGTGGCTCCTGCTGACATTGGCTCTAGTCCTCTGCACCCTGTAGAAAATCTGAAGGGGTGGCTGAGTAATGGGGAAGTGTAGAAAGAGGTGTTGTATGGAGGAGAACTTGAGGAAGAAAATGACTAGGAAGCTAAAGTCATGGATGCAGGTGATGGGCATGTTAAGGGGCAGAGCTCTGACTTGAAGTTGATGGCAGGGAAGCTTCTGATTCCCCTGAGAGATCACTCCCTCCTTGTACACTTATGTCTAGTGGTCTTTGTCCTCTGGTCTGTACTTTGGGTCATTTCAGATATATAAAATATACCCCATACTCACAGGCCTCTTTTGTTCTCAGTGCTACCCACCCTGAATGCTTGGCTGCCTCGAGACTGAAGCAGGCAGTTGTATGTGTGGCCTCACCTTTTGCTCTGTTGTGCTTAAGCAGCTGCAGAAGGCTTAGATTGACCAAATGATTATCTGTAGCCTATACAGTTAATTGCTCTCCACCTCCATCAGTGAAGATAAAGCTAGAAATGTCCCCAAACTGGTGTCAACAGTCAACTGAAGCAAAGTCTGGAGTGCTTGAGAAAAGGTAGAGGCTGGACTATTTTCATGGTCATGTAGCTGAGGCCTGTAAATATATCTGTGGATGTCATTGCAGGGACAGGTTGATGACAAGGCACTCATTGTGCTTGGGGTCACTTGGGTCACATAGCTGCTCCTAATTGTGAGGCAAAAATTAGAGGCTGCCTCATTACTTAAGCCACTTAAAACTGGAGAGGGAATAATTGAGGGAAGGAAGGAGATGGATGCACAGGTTGAGAGGTCTGGGGAGTGAAAGATGGGTGTAGGGCCTGCCTGCCCTTTCTGACTATGAGCAGAGAGAGAACAACTGTTGTAGGGTACTTAGTCTCACCTTAGCAAAGGGGTGAGTAGACTCTCACTGCAGGGAGCAGCCCATCTCTGAGTAACCCATGAGCAGTGGTCAGGGTACTCAGAAGGTTAGCCCTTCCCATCCTGATGTATTGTTAGCCCCAGTTTGTGCTCCTGTTAGTAGACTCTTCTAGGGTGATACAGTATAAATGCTGCCAGGGCATCTCTCACTGGCATTTTCTTTTTTCTAGTGACAAACCTCTGAAGGAAAAGTCTGAGCCATTCCCATGGGATGAACAGGCTTCCAGAGCAACCGTGGTATCCAAGAATGGAAGGTAGAGCTGGGGTGAAATTCCATCGTTGACTTGCATTTCCCCAGAGTTTCTTGCCATTTGACCTGTAGAAATCCACTGAGGAACACCTCTGGGAAGTTTTAGGTTTTTCCTCTCCTCTCTTTAATAAAATGCAGAAGAAAATCATAGTAGAACATCGCAAACCAAATCAAAGATGCTTCCTAAAGTTGTTTCCTAAAGTTGGTGTCTCTCCATTTCAGTTATCCTGAACACACAGAAGCCAACAATGGATTTTACCCACCAAAGTAAGTGTAAACCTACTAACAGTGTAAAAATAACCTTTCCTTCTCACTTTTGGGGTGAGAAGGGTCTTCTGCTGACCCAGTACTCCCTAACAGGAACTCCCTGTTCTGGGAGCAGCACTTGCAAAGTGGACTGGACCTGTTCCACAAGCTCAAAATGGGCTGAGATTTTTCCAGCTCTTTTGCTTGTACTAGCATGAATTGGTTGGATTTATGTCTCTGTCCTTCAGGTCTGCTGCAGGAGCTTTACCAAGCTAAGCAGGAAGGAAGAAAAGGGGTTGTGTTTGAGACAGGAAAATCTTATGTTTGGTATTTTTGCTCCTTGCTCTGTTCTCCAACATGCCAAGCTTCCTTCTGTGACCCATGACTCTCTTCTCTTGCCAGGTCCAACTCTGGTTGCAGAGACATTGCTGCAGATGCCACAGACAAGCTGCACCACCCATATGAGACCTCTGACCGCCTAGATGATGCTAAGTCTGAACCTGCAAGGTCAGGGCCTGCTGCTGGTACTCACAGTGCTGCTCACAGAGGGAAGATGGTGGGGGGGAGGGGGTGGGGTATGAATAAGTAACTTGTTTGGAATAGAGCTGGAACTAGATTCCAAACTGCGCACCAAAGCAAGGGGAGGCAGAAAATTCTGAGTGGTCACTGTCGCACGTCCATTATTTTGGGACTTGGCTGAGGTGAGCAGGATCACAGGGCTCCCACTAGGGTAAATCCCAAGACCTAGAGCTGCTGCTAGTAATGTAGGAACATCTTCCCTGAAGTCATCCCTATCGTACTTCATCCCAGCTGCATGATCCTGTGGCAGGCTGGAAAAGTCCTGTATCCAGCCAAGATGTATGTGAACTGAAGCCTACAAACTGTATTAGTTCCACCAACAGCCTCTATTCTCCTTAGTCAGAGACAGTGAAAATGTGTTTTTTCTGAGGGAAAACCAGTTCTCTGAGAAAACACTTCCTATTTTCTGGTCTCACATGAAGTGCAGTGTTGTGATTTCACACAAGTGCCCTGGAAGCCTTTGGCAAGCTGTAGATTCCTTCATTTTTTTTGACAGGTCTAACTTGCATTCTGATGTCCCAATTCCTCCTACTGAGAGAGCCCCTGTGCACCTGGAGGACACGGAATATTCCTTCAAAAGGTACAAGTGGG